ATAAAATTTTAACCTGATCCTCCCTTAAGAGGCTGTAGTATCCCCATGACCATCCTCGTCGGTAGTTAATTAGCAGTCAGTCTAATACAGCCTTCTCCTTTCGTGGTCTGTTGGCGACGATCAATTACCCCTCCGTTCCGCCTTGAAGCAATGTGACCCCTGCAAAATCCTCCATTCTCCCCACGGCCCCACGGCGATAAATATTTAGTAGCCTTTACTCAAGTGTTTCCCCATGCTATATTGAATAAAAATCAATCACGTGATAACTGGGACTAGAAAAAAAGTAAGAGCAGCGATATTCTAAGTTTGTTACTGAATACAATCCAGTCATGTGATTGTTCGGGCCAAGGTAGGATAGTCCGGAAAAATGCTGTTGGTAACTGTGGTTTCGAAAACCTGAGAGGATGTCGTCATCAGAGTCATATGAGGAGTTTTTTGTCGGTCGCATGTTCGTGAAAACTGCTTGGTTAGATTTGCCATAATGTAATCAACTGAAAGACTTAAGTGTCGTTGGACGATAGAGATGCGTCAGTTTGAGTCTGTCGTTCATGTTAAGTCATTCCTTCGATTCCTTGGTTAGGTCGCATCAATATGTGTACCTGGGAAACCGAGCTCGATAAGGGTTTATTTCAATGTCCTGAGAGTTTCACAATGCTCCGCCGTTTTCCGAGCAGGTTTTGGTAAACTCCTTGGCGCATCGATTGCTCACTTGCTGCACTAAGAACTCGACTTGTGAGCATGTCCAGTAAATTGAGGGAATAAATCGTTTGCATGGTACTAATCTTAGTTGACATCTGTTGCATTCGGCAACAAAAACGAAAAGACCCATAAAATTAAGAACAGCTTGCCAAGGTAACACCGCTGCAAACAGAGTAACTGTAGAGAGACAATACAATTATATTTTATGGCTTCAGAGAAAGGGACAGCGTATGAATGATTTTTTAAAGAGATTGAACCATCGAATTCTATATATGATTGACAACAAAACTAATATTTTATTTGAAACCCCTTCAATTTACTCAATGTAGACCGTGGTTCTCCCTAGAGAGATAGATAGGAAATCTGAAATGAATCGTGATCGTTGCCTTTTAGAGTAGGTTTGCGCAAAGAATCGTGGGAGGCAGGACGTCACAATTTAAACTCGTAATGATGAGAGACCTGGCGCAAACGTTGCACAGAGGACTGGGTCTGAGCCCCTCGGATAAATTTTAATTCTTAAAGGCCCTTTTTATATCAGAGCGCTGATGAAAAGAAAAAATTGCCAAATGTTGTAATTCTGCTGAAAATTCACGTCACTGAACAGTCTCGCAACAATTGCTTTTTTTAGAGGTGAGAAAAAAAATAAATAAAGTGGCAAATGTAGATTTAAATTCTCTATTTCAGTTCATCTCCCATCGGGTAGAATGGCCGGACAATACTTATTCATGAACACCGACGCGGCAAAATGTACTTTGAATATACGTCGAAAATGTACTTTGAATAGCCACGAATTGGAGAGAAAATGCCCTAATTTCCCTGCGGGGCATTGATAAAACTCAATTTCCTTGCAATGCTAATTCCTACTCTATGTTTTGAGCAACGAGCATTTCAAGAGAAATGCTATATCTACGATTGAAGCTTTTTTTTTAAAGTTTTTGTACGAGCTTTCTGCGTTCGAAAACTTGGGAACAAATCGGCCTTTTCAGAGGGGAACATGTTCCGGGTTCGAGGTTAAGAGCGATTTTAAAGTGAGCAAGTCTGGCTTCAAAAAAGTGAACGACAGGAAAGAAAAAGTTTGGTCTTTTTGTTAATCTGTTCCGTCTTCACTTTTTAAATCGGCGTAAGATAACGACTAGCCATCTGAAAATTAAAATTGGGACTTGAACGTATGTTGAAATGTGACGCATCTTTGCTTAGTGAGCCATTGTTTGACGCACTTGCCTGTATTACAATGGCTATCGAAAAATTACCTTAAACATGAAGAAAAGTTTGAAAGAAAATATTCCCATTGCCTACATGTTAACTCAGACCATTTCGAAGATGCTTCGATAAATCGTCCAATTTTTAAGTACAAGTTAGACTATGGGTCTAGATTTTTACATACATTTATTACTTTTGAAATTCATAACTTTTAATATCATCCTCGATGTTTTAGCTCGCAACAGAAATTATGTCATGATTATCTTGCCAAGAAAAGCTGACTTAGAAGAAGACTATGACTATGACTGAAAAACTGAATAAAAGCAGAAACAAAACAATTTTATAGCGTATGTGCTTTTTTCTCAGATTAAAAATTTTTTGAAAATGAAAATCTTTTGAAAATGAAAATCTTTTGAGAGAATGTTTGTTGTTGTCCAGAGGGCACTCTTTCGATAAGTACTCTCAAGGTGCCAAGTTATCATAACCGGAAGCTGAACTACATTTGAACATAAGAACCACTCGAGATTTACCGGCCTTCTCGATATTCAAACCCTTTCTTGTATTTTAATATTTGTTTAGAATAAAAATAAATCCAACAAGAATTTCTTCGCTCTGACAAGGGCAGACACTCGAAACGTTAGCTTTAGAAACTCACTATATGGTGCTGGGCCAATTTATGTAATCAACTCAGTTGATAAACTAACTAGTTATCTTGTATTACCCTCCGTGACACAGCACCACAGTTTCATTAAAATCTCATCTCACTAATTCCAACAACGCGAAAGATCGAAAAAAAGCGGAATAAAAAAAAGACTAAACAGGAATCCATCAGGCAAATCATTAGGACTTAATAAAATGGTAAGAAGGTATTCCATGTAAAAAAAATAGATTCCATGTCACCCCTTGCCTCTGTTCAATGGTGAATCACACATGACATCAAACTGTAGATGGAACTGGCAAAATATCTTTTGTGATCTCTGACGTCTTCAGTTCATGTACTGCCCCAAGGCTTCATGGAATCTATTTGTCTTACGTCATAAAAAAGCAAAATATTGTTGAGAGTGACTTCATCTTTTCGTCTGTCCTCCCATAGGTCATAAGTAGGAACCAACTAGATGCATGTGGGATTAAGCTTATCATTTAATCGCTAATAAGTTCCTATTTAGCTTTCTGCTTTTTTCGTTTTGTTTTTGCGTTTTTATGACAAAATTATTGCAATTATAAGTAGGTAGAATTGAGTAAGAGAAATTTGTTTTTGATTGAGTTATGTATTCTACTGTGATGTGTTGGAGGCTGCGGTTTGTGCAGTCTGAGCCAAGAATAAATTCAACGGCACACTGACAAAATTTGATCTTCTTTAATTACCAAGTGAGCAATAAATCTTGTCACGGCAACACCATTAAAAGAAAGGTGACGAGGTGGAATTTTCTTTATTTGTTGGAGGACGTAGTTTTTATGAGGAGGCAATCTCGATCGATCTCATTAAGCCCAGATTAATGGATTCCTCGAAAAGTCAACAACCTATCTATTATCCGCAGCAGATAAGCCGTGCTTCATTAGCTATCTACCACAGCTTACGTTAGCTTCGTTTCACATTGGCAAGAGCAGCAAACGAAACGTTACGCATGATCAGAGGGTAGCCGTTTAAGAACAACCCAACCGAGTAAAAAGTCTGAGTGGGCTTTTGAACTTTTGAAATGGAGGTGGATGAACGAAACACGCCAACCGTCGTCCTTGAAACAGCTATATTTGCCTTGGTGATGGTCCTTTCGCTTCTTGGAAACTCTATGGTCTGCTATGCTGTGCGCAGAAGCCCAAGTCTTCGTAGTCCGAGCAACTACTACATCATTTCCCTGGCACTAACCGATATTTTCCAAGCTCTGTTCATTATGCCGTTATCTGTTGTTTTTCTAGCTACTGGGAAATGGCCTTTTGGATCGCATCTGTGTCATTTCGTAGCCATCACAAAGATATCCCTGGCAAAAGTCTCAACGTTTACCATGGGTCTGATGGCGTTGAATAAATATTACAAGATAGCGAAGCCAGCCAAATATCCAAGTATTTTCACCAAGAAATTCATCATTGCCTCAGCATCGGTAGTATGGGTGGAACCCTTTGTGTTCTTTCTCCTTGTAGTGTTTGCCGTCGATTTCGGTGTGAGACCAATCCTAGGCTTCGCCACATGCGTCATCGATTTAAATCCCTTAGCTCTGCCTGTCTACATATTCCAAACCTACTCCCCTTATTGCGTCATTGGGTTTTGCTACTGGAAAATTTACCGATTTGTGAGGATGCACAATGAAAGCGTATCATGGCAAAGTGCCAATGTGAAACATATTAACGTCAGCAAAACTTTGTTTGTTACTGTCGTCGGATTCGCAAGTCTTTGGGTGCCTGCACACGCCATGTTTATCATGTCAATTTTAACATCAATTCCCCGTCAGCTTGAAATTCTTGTGACACTTTTAGCGTTCACATCCAGTTGTGTAAATCCTTTCATTTATGGCTTTATGAATCGCGCATTCAAAATCCAATTCAAAAACATATTTGCGCCACGAAATACTAACTCGATAGCCGCAGAATCTGCCGGCCGACATTAGGCACGAGATATGAAAACGTTCTCAATCGCGTATTCATTATATTTCATGCAATGCTTACTGGATGACAAAATTCGTTAGTTCATTTCATATTTTTGGTCGATTTAGCTGAGAATCAGTGGTAAAATTATCAGTGATAAAGTGAGTAGATAATAAATATGGATTTGAGGAAAAACAAATAAACTATCTACAAAGGATTTTTCGGCATCAGAGCCTTCTTTTGTTGTTCCCAACAAAATGCGTAAAAGTGCGTAAATTTTTATGCACAATTTGTTAAAATGAAAAGACAGCTTTATTGGTACCATTGAGTTTATTTCAATTACCTTTTGACAGTATTTTATCATCTAATGGCCATCATCGCCTGTTGTTTTGATTGTGTAATCATGTTAATGCTAACATATGGAAATGAAATGTATGTATAGTTCATGTTTCTACATTTCTTAACAAGCCAATTTTTTTATCAATTTTTTTTTGTTTTAAGCTTTAACAGTTAAGTATAATCTGTAAAATCCTAACCATTGAAATACGCAATTGAAAATTTTACACTGATAATTGCGCAATGTAAGTTAATAAACCATTATAATTATTATTTCATTTATCTTTCGCATCCTATCAGTAACTACGTCATGTTCTTCCTCCTTTTTTTCTCTAAAATATATATATCATCTATTAAGTTCTGTCTGAGGAGCGCTTAGGCGGGAACTCAGAGTCACAGAGAATCGATGCGTCCTCTTTAATTCTTTAACTTATGTATACTTAGCTTTGCTACCACAGCATCGAGCACTTTATGCCAAGGTAGACTCTACCCCCACATTCATTTATATATCATCTATTATATATTCCACCAAAATGTCAAGCATATCAACAGCTGTGAAATATATTTTTTTGTAATTCATTTATGTGCAGAGATGTATGACTTTTACAAAATCTATAGGACTGCTCAGGAGGGAATACTGAGTTCAGCTTTACATGAAAACTTGATGTACGTTATCTTCTGAAATCTAACGAGGAATGCTTGAACCAGCATGTAAATATTTTGCGAATCTTTAGTTGTGTTATGTAGCTATATAATTTACCAAGTGAACAATAGATCTTATCACCGTAGCACCATGGCAGGAAAGGTGACGAGGTAGAATTTTCCATGTTTGCTGGATGACGTGCATCGATCAATGTCAGTATCTGAGTAACTTCGCACCTACCCCTCCCCTATCCCAACATTAACCTTAACTTTTACCGGTTGACTGTTAATGGAACGTATATTTGTTGTAATAGCCGTGAAATGAGAAGCCTGATTTAGGTTTTTTTAAAACGGTATGTGAAAACGACATATGATACTACTGTTTGCATCTTAGAGGACGGTTTCACGTTTGTAAAAAACTTAGTTTCTACATGTAATAACCACAAGAACATTACCAAGAACATGTTTTTTTAAAACTGATCTTTATAGAGGGGATTTGTCAGAAGTGCGCATGATCACGTCAATCAAGAGAGGACGATCCCTCTACTCAATTTAATAGAAAAAGTAGTAGAATTCAATAAAAGATAAATTTTTTCGTTTGTCTCACGATGTAGTGTGATGTAGATCGCGTCGTTTCGACTGCACACTGCTGGTCTTCTTCAGGCGATAAGGTCGACTGGTCATGCGTGATCTTATAAAGCATGATGCTCTGCTGTGACTAGTTGTTTTTCAACAGCTCTGATTGGTGCAATTCGATCCTTGCTGTTTCACTCAGTGATTTGCTCCCTCGGCTCTCCTGTTGTTGTGTTTTTTGGTCGTGGGCATCTACGCTTCTGGAATTTCTATTCCACTATCCCTGTTGATGTTGTTAGAATGAAGTCTTATATGAATTGCCTCTTTGACCCTGCGCGTGTTGTAATAAGGGTCACGATCAATAAACTTTACTTAGTTCCAGAGTGGCTTGTTTCCGGTGTTGTGGGCATGCTCTGAAATGGCGGAGGTCTCGGTACGGGCGAGTCGGATGTCTCGATCGTGCTCCTTAATTCTGTCTTGCATAAGTCTTCCGGTCTCTCCGATGTACGCCTTGCTGCATTCACAGGGAATCCTGTAAACTACGCCATCTTGTAGTAGAATTCGTCGCCTATTAGATCGGCACTACTCTAAATAAAATTAGCTGTTAATACAATTTGAGATAGAATGAGTGTGCTTGAATGATTGCGTTGACTTGGTAAAGGAAGGACTTTTGCCGTCCTCGGTAAAACGAAAACTGCGCTGAAACAGAAAAAATAGATGTACATAACAATAATAATGATAATAATAGTAATAACAATAACAATAATAATAATAGTAATAAATAATAAAAAAATAATATTAATAACATAATAACATATTTACACAGGGTAAACCCGTCAGCCGAAGCTATTATAAAAGGGTGCCTTGGGCAACTTAAAATTAAGAATTGAAGAAAAAATTACTATAACAGATGAACCATTAGAAAAATGTAAAAACTATGTACAATGTTGATGGATAAAAACTAAGAATTGTTTAACTAAGTAAATTAAAAACAAAAATCCAGAATTTTTTCAGAACTCTAAAAAATAATATCATCATCACAATTTTCCCCTTTCTCTGTTAAAACCGATTGAATTTCTGCATTTTTTTTTGAATAGCAGTTAATAACTTTAAAAAATATACGAACCAGCTGACGGTAACAGCAAATTCCAATTAAAATTTTAAAAAGAATTCAATAGCAAAAAAAAGGTGGCAGTCATTCCCGCATGGAAATCTTTAGTTGAGTTCAGCAGTAAAAGAAAATGGTGCAAAGGCGCAATGCGTGTGTCACTTTTTTTTCCCTACTACTTAGCAGTAGTAGGGAAAAAAAAGCCCTAATATATATGCTTATCCTGCCATTCCCCTTGGGTGACCTCATAATACAGGTTGGACTGTTTGGGAACTCCAGGGGCAAATCAAGAATCAGAGAAACTATTTTAAATATGATCTGTATATTTTTATTTTACATTCAGGTCACGGTCTCAACAATCAACATATGTCTACATTCGTCTGCTTATTCGATCTTGGTACAGCGTTAAAACCAATTGAATTGCTGCATTATTTTTTTGAATAGCAGTTAAATGTCACTGTCTTAACAATCAACATTCATCTACTTATTCGATCTTGGTACAGCGTGTTTATTCATATTGTCATAGTTTAAAGTGGAACTTTCTGCACATGCAGTTAGGTTAGTATAATGTGTAATTACAGCTATAGTGACTTACTGAATAGTCTTACAGTGACCCCCTTATGCGCAAATAACGCTATATATTATGATTAACCCTGATAATGATAATAGTCTTCATTGCCAAAAGATAAGAGTACATATCTTTTTTTACATTATAGACGCCTGTACACTCAATAAAAATTTACCCTAAAAATTAAACTAGTTAAACTACAAATGGGTGACAAAATACTACGTAGAAACTATATCATCTTGTGTTTAAAAATCAATCTATTTACATCGTTTGGTATTAACCTGGGGGGGGGGGACACTGTTTCTTATGTAGATTGTACTGATTTATTCTCCTTTGTTGGTGGTAAATCATCCGCTACGAGCCTAGCGGATGACTATCTACAGAGATAATAGCCTTTAAAATCTAGCAGTCCTGTCTATATAAAAGGTCCTTAGTAGGAACGGGAGACGAAAAAAAGCGATGCTTGTGGCAGCGACCCAAGAAAGATTGTATAATATTCAAATATGATTCTCACGCTCCATACACAGAAAGGAAGTAAGTAAAATTCGGTAGACGATTTCTGGTATATTTACATGTCATAAAGCAAAATAACACATACAATGGCTTTATTTTTTAGAAATTGACTCGTACAGTATTTGTTGATTTTTCCTTAAGATAAGGATGTGTTTCCATAGTTTTCTTTCGAACCGTTTTTTGATCCTCCACACTGCAACCTATCCTGAGGTTTTCATAAAACTTTGCCTTTAGATGTTTTTTTCCCCGTATTATTATAAATTTTATTTAAATTTATTTAAATTTTATAAGGATCATCCCCACTTGTTGGAGGAGGGAAGCAAGAGGAGGAAGAATTTGAAGAGAGCGTATCATGGTTAATATTTTGCTCCAAATCTCTGTCGGAATCACAAGTTTTGTGTGACTTCAACAATCGAAGATTTCATTAGAAATATCCGCGGAAACTTTGCTTTTACAGTCAGTCTAAATATTTTCTTTAGAAGACAATCGATATAATTTTAAACGAATCCATTATGAATTGACTAGACCGCCTGTTTTTGAAGAAATTTTATCGATAATTTGGCATTTACAAAGTTTCTGAAAATCTGATGGTGCATATACTCTCACGCACCTTTTAAATAAACGTAAACATGATCACCGAAATCACCTTAAAATAATTTCCTAATAATTTTCCTTTCCGAAACTAGCGAGAGACTTTCACCTGTATGTACATTCTAGGTAAATATTTTGCCACTATTCATAAAGTTTCCTAATATTAATTGATAGCCATTTTTGTATTGCGTGTATATCCGCAACACATCAAAAGCCGCCAATTCCTGGGGCATCTTAACACACTTAAGCCGGTTTTTTTTTTCAAATTTCAATTAATCTTATTCTTTTTAGAGAAAATGACCGGTGAGCTTAATTTTGAGCTGAACCAGAATCTGAGGCAATCGGATTATTTCTTGTTGTCAAGATTTTCTTGAATTCGTGCCTAAATGCCCGATTCATGAAACCATAAATGAAAGGATTTACACAACTAGATGTAAAGACAAAAAAGGTGACCATAAATTTAAGCTGATGAGGCACGTATAACTCGAAAAGAAACGCTACAAATACGGCATGAGCAGGCACCCAAAGAATGGCGAAACCAACAATAGTTACGAGAAGTGTTTTAGTAATTTTAACATGCTCGACATTGGCACTCTGCCACGAAATATTGGCATTATGCATCCTCACGACGCGGTAAATCTTCCAGTAACAAAACCCGATAACAAAATAGGGCAAGTACATTATAATTAGCACAACAGATACAAACTGTCCAAAACTTACTCTACAAACTGCGAAACTCAAGTCTTCCTGAGGGCGGGAATCGGGAGCAAAGGCGAAGATGAGAGACATCAAAACCATCGTTACCCACGCTGCTGATGCAGTTATAACAATAAACCTCTTTGTAAAAACACTTTGGTAGCTCGCTGGTCTCACTATCTTGTAATATCTGTTCAACGCCATCAGCGCCATCGTCAATAGTGAGGTTTTCGACAAAGACAACTTTGTAATCGCAGAGACGTAGCACATTGGGGTTCCAAACGGCCACCTTTCCATAGCTAATAGGAAAACAGATAGCGGCATTACCAGCACAGCTTGGAAAATGTCGGTCAGCGCCAAAGAAATGAGGTAGTAGTTGCTCGGACAACGAAGTCTTGGGTTTCTGCGTATAGCATGGCAAACCATGAGATTTCCGAGAAAGGAAAGAACCATCACCAAAGTAACTAACCCAGTCTCAAATAGCACGGTTGCTGTATTCCTGTGCTCCATGGTCACTTTTCTAGCTCCTTTCTTTTCGCTTATCTTTTTCTTGCGGGTGGTTGAAACTCTGGTAAGCGTCAGAAACAGACTTTTCAGCTTTGACGGGTGATTGGTATGAATCAATTCGCGCCTTCAAAACGTCTTCGTGGGAAGTGCGATCCGATTTCAAGTATTTCACCCGAGCTGTTTGCTTCGACTGTATGGATGAAATAACGTTTTGATAAGCGCATTAATTTAACGAAAGTCAGAGTTGCACAAAACATCTGCTTCAAAACTTAGGTCAATATTAATAGTGTCATCAATAAATAAACATCTTCCACATCAGCTTAAAACCTAAAAGCGTGTTGTTATCAGCTCTCTTGCTATATTGCTATCTTACGTTATCCTTTGAGCACAATGCAAATAGTCATCGTCACTCATTGTTCTCTTTGAAAATTGCAGTCAGTGTTACCTTTTAAGCTGATGACTTGTTTCCTCTACGATGTAATAAACAGACCTACACTTAGAGTGGGTGTACATTAGAACTCATCACATCTTAACGCTGTCAATTTATTTTTTCTTACATGAATACACATATAGCTCTAACAAACATTAATTTATATCTACGCAGTAATTTAAATGGAAATTTTTTTTATGTGGTATTGTTCCTAACAGGAAATAAGGAAAACACCTTAATTAATACCTGGAAGTAATATATTTTTAAATCTTATATAGAAGTTTCCCGCAAATCTCTGTTTTGAGTTAAACTTAATTTGTCTCAGCGAATTTTCTTCTCAACTATCTTAATAAAGGTTAATTTTATATATTATTTTCTCCTTGCCAAGATATAATACACATTGTTGGAAACTTAAACACAGTTTCCTAATCAGTGAAAGTTACAACGCACAGATATACGCCCTTGTTCCTTTAAATACTAAATGTTGCTTTTATTAGACTGATAATCCTCCCTTACAGATTTTAATTTTTTAGATTTTAGCTATACCATGAATCTAAGAATCCTACGCTGCCTTAGTCATCACAAAAGGCTCTCTCCTTGAATACTGGTTTAGGCATTAAAACTGACTCACTCTAAGTCAAAATTATACTTTAAACTTTTGTTTATTTAAAGAAGGAAGAGCGAACGCGGCAACGGCAGACATAAGAACAAAACATGACCAAAAAATTATATTCCATGAAATGTTTGGCAAAGATGCAATAATTTATCTTTAAACGCGGTTACTTTTAATTTCTCCACGGACCACTCAATTAAGCCCGAGGGTTTCCCTTTGTAAGGGGGGTTTAGACTTGGACCAAACATGGGCCCACTCCGAAATATGCAGCCAGATACAATTTTTGGTAGACTCCGTAAGTAAATACGAGAGAGAGAGCATCAAATACCAACCACATAAGATTAAGAGACATGTTACCGCTTTCAGACCCCAAGGAAACGTACTTTGAATTTTAACGTACTCCTTAGGTAGGAGTTTTGTATTATGAATTTTAGAAATTAGGAGAAGGAAATTTTGTGATAGTTACTCTGTAATTCCACAATAAGATACCAAATCTTGGATGGTACAAATAAATCTTAGCGATATTTTCTTGTTAAATTTCATCAACTCAAGGAGGACTCGTCCGTTACACTGGACCGGGTTTTCTGTGACTGAGTTCCATGTCCACTGACTGCTTCGTTTTCAGGATCAAGCACTTTTTGAATTCATTTCTGAATGAACGGTTCATAAAACCATAGATGAAAGGATTTATGAAACTAGACGAGAAAATAAAAAGAGTCGCGAGAAATGTGAGCTGACGTGGTAGCCTCCTATGATAGGAGACCAGGTAGATGATTTGAGCCGGCAACCAGAGGCTGACAAAACCGACGACGGTAATAAACAGGATTTTCGCGACTCGAACATCCTCTACATTTGCATTCTGCCATGAAATATTTGCGTTGTGCATTTTGATGGCCCGGTAAACTTTCCAATACCAGAAAATAACGATAGGATAAGGCAAAAACGTAATAAATATCAAAGTTGGTAGAGAAATTGGCATTTCATAAGTTGTCAAAGGCAGTGCAAAAGCCGGGCACACATGGTTGGAAAAACGAAACGTGACAATAAAGAGGAGAGAGATAACAATGAATGTAGCCCACACCGCTAAGGCTGAGGAAACAATGAACTTCTTTGTGAAAACACATTGGTATTTCGTTGGCTTTACAATTTTGTAGTACCTGTTCAAAGCCATCAATACCATGGTCCATACTGAGATGTTGGTCAGTGATAACTTGGAAATGGTTGCGAAATATGTGAGAAACGTTCCAAAAGGCCATTTTCCAGTAGCCAGCAGGATAACTGACCACGGCATTGTAGATAAAGCAAGCGAAATGTCAGTCAGGGCCAAAGAAATGATGTAGTAGTTGCTTGGACGCCGACAAAGTCCTGGGTTTCTGCGTACGGCATAGCAGACCATGAGATTCCCAAATAAAGAAAGAATCATCGCCAAGATAAATAGGAAGGTTTCAAAAACCACAGTCACTGTGTTCCTTTCCCTTAACTCGCTCCAAAGCTCAAGAATGTCGCTTTGTTTGTGAGACATTATATGGAATTTCCTTCAAGACCAGAAAACGGACAAGCAAGTGTAGTTCTTTTATAGCGTGACTTCTGAAAGCCCTTAACATTAAGGACGGCTCCTGGTAAAAAAGGTCAATTCTGTGGGAAAACTGGCTGGGAATAGGAGGGCGAAGGAAAATTTCACTTTGAAGGTTTAAATAAACGGCCTGAAATGAATGGTTTTGTATGCCGATATAATAAATTAAAGACTAAAAAAAATCGAAAGGAGGCGAGTTACTCATCTGAATGATGGTGATTCCGGGCCACCAACAAATCACTTTGTGATAGCAGGAGCTGGTTCATTTTCGAAATTCTATACATGGCAATATTCCTCATAAATAAATTGTATTTTAGAAACAGTTTACATGGAACTGTTTATTAAAGAAAATCAAAAGGAATACCATATTATTAAAAACTAATTCTAGTTTTTCAAGCTGCACAGTTAGGTTTTTAATTAATAATTCTACATGTGAAATTATCACAATAAGTACATTTTATACTTTGATTGAAAACCCCTAAAGCGAAATCGGCACCATATGAAACACATGTAAACATTTAGAAGGTTAAATTATTCTTCTTTTTCAGCGTTTTCAACATTGAGGGTCGCTCAGGATAGAGTTTCCTCTTTCAACATTGTATTTTGATCTGACTAACTGTGACGACAACACTTAAATAATTCATCTATATCGTAGAACTCAATTATTAAGGGTACATATAGAAAAAAAAACATACTCCTTTGAACTAACCAATATGACACAAAATTGAAAAAGTAATTAAAATAGTAATTCCTCTTGCGCTTTTGTTAATTCCAATCTAAAATAAACCATAAAAAGTAAAGCCATTTCTCAAACAATAGCTTTGCTTACACCTCTCGTGATAAAACTTTATATTTATTTTCTTACTTTAATTTTTAATTATTGATCTTTGTAAGAAAGCATTACCTTTGAGTATGTTTGTGATTTGGTATTGCACCGAGGCTACTGAGAACGGGTTGGCTGTTTTAAAACAGGTCAGTTCTCATGCCGTATTACGTAACATGAATTAGCGACTGGCGTGATATAAATCTTACGTAACATTCCCTAAGGACATGTCTCGAAACTTTCTTGTGCTCCATTAAAATCTCTCAGTAAAAGAAAATGTTGAAACGAGGTTCTCTCCTATCTAGGAAAAATATATATCAATGGGGGCTGCATCTATTTATATTTAAGCAATGAAAATTATTAAATGTATTGAGGCCTTTATGTATATAATTCTGCTCATGGATACGTCATGATTCATGGAGTCCCACTTTGCTTTAGTCCTTACAAAATATTTACACTCGAAGTATTTCTTTTAAACATCAAATTTAATATAGGCTTTGATAAGTAAAAGGGCATCAGTTATATTTTGTACATCTCCGATCAGTGAGCAACATTCAAGAAGGGGTTTTAAGGAATTAAAATGAAAATGCAGAAAACTACAACACTCTGGAATGGAGTCAAAGTAATCGTTCTAGCGGACACACAAATAAGTGAAAACATGACCAAGAGATAGAAATTTATTAGATAAAAGGGAGATTACAGTAATTCATCTCTAAGCGCCCTTCTTCATGCGAAGTTCAGTCAATTGATCGAGTAGATACCTTTGTAAACAGGTTTAAACTACAGTTCGGAAACATACGGAGGCAACTAGATATAATTCTAGCAGTATTGAAGGGGATACGACGGAGTGTTAAGCTTTTCGTAGGATCTGTACCACATTCGATTTAATCTTTTTCAAAGGTACGCATAATCACCGTTGAAACAAGCAAAGAATCATACTTTCAATTTGAGCATACTCCTCAAGGGAAGTTAGTAGCTAGAAACGGCAGCAAAATTTCGACCGTTATTAAAATCAATTGTGACATATAGTCATTCCAAGAGTAAGTCCCGAATCATCAGATAGCGCTAATTAATAATCTGAACAATGTTTTCTGGTTTCGCAGGACTTGCTTCCGAGCCTATCGAGTGCTTCTTTTTCAGAATCAAGAAGTTTTTGAATTCATTTCTGAATGAAGGGTTCATAAAACCATAAATGAACGGATTTATGAAACTTGATGAGTAAATAAGAAAAGTCGCAAAAAGTTTAAGCTGGCGTGGTAACACTATATACAAAGACATAAGAAAGATAGTTTGAGACGGCAACCAGAGGCTGAGAAAGCCGACAACAGTGACAAGCAGAATTTTGTAGACTCGAACATCTTGTACATTTGCACTCTGCCACGAAACATTTGCATTGTGTATCTTCACAGTCTTGTAAACCTTCCAGTAACAGAAAATGATGACAGCATACGGCGAATAGAAAATAACAACCGCAGTTAGTTTAGCAACTGGCATTGGAAATGTTGTCCCAGGAACTTCAAAAGCTGAATTCATATCATTTCTCGAACCAAATGCGAGCACAGAGAGAAGAGCAAGAGAAACGAATGCAGCCCACACACCTAATGCTGTGGAGATGATAAACTTCTTCGTAAAAATAGTTTGGTATTTTGCTGGCTTCACTATCTTGTAATACCTGTTTAAGGCCATCAGTGCCATGGTGGATGTCGAGATGTTCGTCAATGATAACGTGGAAATGGTTGCAAAACGACTCAGAAAAGTTCCAAAAGGCCATTTTCCAGTAGCCAACAACACAACTGACAGCGGCATTGTAAACAAAGCTATTGAAATATCTGTTAGGGCCAAGGAAATGATGTAGTAGTTGCTTGAGCTACGAAGCCTTGGATTTCTTCGTACGGCATAGCACACCATAAGATTCCCAAATAGAGAAAGAATCATTGTAAGGGTAAATATGACAGTCTCAAACACAACAGTCGCTGTGTTTCTTTCTTGCATCTGTTGCCAAACTATACTGTGATTCATTCTACTCTCTTTGATTTCTTTTTGTAATCAGAGACAGTACAGTAATTTGTTGTTGTTTTTTTTCGGTAACAGCCAAAGATATTTTCAGGTTCGTGGGAAGGCTTGGTGAACTGAGTTCAGTGAAGCATATGTAGAAATATATGTGCTCAGATATACTGACAAATGCACGAAGCTAAAATGAACGGAAGCTTAAGACACCAATCAAATGAAAGGGCTCCAAAATCAAATCAGTATCTCATTAGAATTCTATTCTACCAAATAATCATACGGAGGCCTTTTAATTGGAAGAGCTGGTTCGATGAATTCAATGGCGTAACGGGAAATGGTTTGGTATTGAAGAAATTGTGCAATTAATATAAATTTAGACTGGCACATCTCAGTAAGATCAATTGAAACTTATCAAATATTGATTTTATTGTTTTAAGCAAAACTTCGTGGTTTTTCTTGAAAATATAAAATTACTATTTCTTGACGTTTTCAAGAACGTGAGTTGCTAATTCGTGAGATCAAACTCCTTTTAGTCAAATTTGCCGGTATTTTGAACTGTCATCCCGCGATGACAACACGTACAGCGGACTTTAAAAGCTAAGAAACCAACTCCAAAGTTAAAATAAATATATAAGACTCTTTTCAATTCTTTGGGTGAGACAAAATTGAATTAAAAAGTTGTTAAAATAGTGACCCCTCTCGTGTTGTTGTTCCAAAAGACGTCATAGAGTTCTTTTATTTCTGTGTTTTACCGTCTTTTTCGTCGAATACAGTGGCCTTTAAAGTTATTTCCCGAATTTAGGTTTTTTCTCGATTTTGCACGAAAGCGTAAGCTGTTTTCGATAACTCGGTTCACAAAAGAGCTCGCAGAGGATATTAACTCGAGATATACTTGTGTCTTGCGGTGAATCGTTTCATAAAACCGAGATGTGGACGCGCGAGTCACTTCTTAGTAGGGAGCGTTCTCTATCTCTAAAAATTTCAAATACATGTTCCCAGTTAATGACAATTACAGTAAATACATCCACATTCCTATTTGAAAAAGTCTAGTACTTACATCAGCCTTATATATAATTTTTTTCCAAGACATCATGGTGTCGATAGATTTGTAATAATTCATATAGTCCCACATTAGCTTAGTCATCATCTGACTTTTATACGTTAAGGGTTATCTCTAAGCAACAAAATTGATTCGCGTTTTGATCAACTTACTAGCCAAAAGAAAGCCTTTAAATTTCGTACATAAAAGGACTTTTGTCGTTGAGATGCATCTAACGGCCCTTAAAGAAAATACTGCGGAGAGGGTCAGGTGCCATTAGTCAGTTCAGCTGTACCTTACCGATTTGATTCAGACCTTTCGAAAGGCTCGAAGTAAACACCAGTAGTACCACCCATCACAGAAATATACTACAAATTTGAACTAAGTCCCTAAGGAAAAACAGTTGAACAACGGGTGTTACAATTAGCAGTAGGTACGAGGAAAGGAATTTTTTAACTTTTTAAGATAAATTCGTAAGTATTGCCACGACGAGGTCCGACTTCTTGGATGCTGCCACCAATAACAGTTTCAACATTATCTGAGATATTTCAAGTAAATACGAAAGTGTACTTTTTGTTTTTTGTTTATTTTGCCATTTTGTACTTATGATACATCAGTAGAAATAAGAAAGGAATCACACATGTATTAATATGTTATAGCTAAGATTTAGAATGAGTTGAGGAAACCTGTTAGAAGTAATTTCCCAACACTAGTTGTTTTGTTGTCTTTTTCTACTACTCATGTTATTACAACGGGGACTAGCTCTGATCTCTCTAGGAAAGTGTGGGTCACCGCTTATAAAGGTGACACTTTCTGAGCTGTCAATCTCTACCCTTCGTCATGCTTTTAAACTTAACAAGCGAATCACACTAAGCTACGCGGAGTTCGCATACTAAGTAGATACCTTCGCGATGTTTATGCTTCACGAAATGTCTTTCTAACTTAAATTTCTTGGTCTTACGGTCAAGTTCGGGCAAAACAAAAACAAGATTGACAATATAAAAATCGTAATAAACTTATTAACAGAATTAAAATCATACTTGAAAAGATATCTTAAGAGGAAATAGTCCTTGAAGGCTGTTGCATAACAGCAGAGTAAACACAAAATTCGGAAAAGAAAGGGCGTACCCAAGGTAAAGAGCTACGTGCTAGTCGTATAAGTTATCTGATTACAAATTCAGTGCGGAAGATGAAAAGTACTACATGCTTGCACTTTAAGTCACCTCTAAGAAAAAGAGGTGTCGAACGTGCTAAATTAAAATTAAAAACTATTTTCCTGATCGGGAACTCAACATGGATTTAGCCTAAAAACGAGAGTATTAAGGAGGTAAAAGCATAAAGGAGGGTTATTTGCCAGGAAATTCCTGCACGGGATTAATTTCTATAAGGTAGAGTCGTTTTCTTAGCGATTAATCATCTTTTAGCAACATAATGAACACACCCTGATATCTAGCCGCAAACCGCAGTTTACACAAAAACATCTGTCTCCATGTCAAATTCACGGCCATAATATGGAAAAAGGTGACCAAACTCTACCTGTAAGGTAAGACCGCCAAAAGGAATATGAAATGATCAACTGGTTTATTACAATTTTCACTGCCTATGCTAATATATTATTTCCATTTATTTTCATGTTCAAATAAGTCAAAAATCACCCATAATGAAAATTCTTGCTAGATACCAATTTTGTCTTTTAACAAATCCGTTGAGAAACTAAGAGGCTTATGCGAGCCACAGGCTCCTCATGTTTTACAAAAGTGAGGTATCAGTTTTATGGCGTGATTTAAAACTGGAACTTTCTTTAAAGCGCACTTTAAACTGGAGCTGCTTCTCTCTGACAGGATTCTGTACCTACTGACTGCTTCTTCCACAGGACAAAGCATTTTTTGAATTCGTCCCTAAACGCGCTGTTCATAAAACCATATATGAAAGGATTTATGAAGCTGGATGAGAAAATCAGAAGAGTCGTGAAAAGTGCGAGCTGGCGTGGTATCGTTACACGAAAAGAAACAACAGTCAGAGTTTGAGCCGGCAACCACAGGCTGAGAAAGGCGGCAACGGTGACAGAAAGGACTTTGCTGACTCGTACATCTTCTACATTTGCACTCTGCCACGAAACATTTGCATTGTGCATCTTGACGGCCCTGTGTATTTTCCAGTAACAGAAAATGATAACAGGATACGGCAAATACGAGTTAAATACTAAGATCGGTCGTGATATTGGCATTGGAAACCATATCACAGGAACTGCAAAAGCTGGGTGCACATAGGAGGGAAAACCGAATGCAAATATAGAAACAACAGCATTAACAATGACTACGGCCCACACCGCCGAAGCTGATGAGATGATGAACTTCTTTGTAAAAAGAGTTTGGTATTTCGCTGGCTTCACTATCTTGTAATACCTGTTTAAGGCCATCAGTGCCATGGTAAACGTCGAGATGT